ATAAAATAAAATAAATAATAGTAGATGTATTATGTCTTCCTGTGGTATGCAGAGGGAATATAATTTATTCCATCAGATGAAAGCCTATCTCACAGCCATAAACACTGCACTTAGGAAGAAAACATCCTGTTGTGTAACTGTTTGTCAATGTAACTTGGATTGGGCACCAAACATTGAATTTAAAGTAATTACAAGTTTCCCACCTCCTTCCTTTTAGACTCCATGGCTCCCTAAGGCTCCCTTGTGCCCTGGAAGTGTTTGGCAGCCCTGGGAAGAGGGAGAGGAAGGTTTTAATAGCAAAAAATAATAGTGGGATCAAGACTGCTGGCAGTGATCTGGCTGCCATTTTTACTATTAAAGCCCATTCCAAGGCTTTTAAAGACTTACCCAGAGCAAAGGGAAGCCCCGGGGAGCCTTGGAATGTAAAAGAGGGGGATAGGAGGCTTTTAATTGTTTTAAATTAAATGCTTCTGGCGCTCAAACTTTGCTGTGCAAAGTTATGCCGCAGGATTTTGCCCAGTAAAAAGTGACACAGAACATTGTTTCTCCCGATGAATCCAAAGGTGGGCAATGTTACATTTTGGACCAGAAGCAAGGCTAGATGGCAAGCAGTGTTGGCTGGAGGATTTTGGGAATTGTCCAAAAAGCTCTGGGTGGATCACTTGGATATTTTTTGCTATTTAGATGTATTATGTCTTTCTTTGGTATGCAGAGAGAATATAATTTATTCCATCAGATGAAGGTCAGAAAGCAACAGAAGAATGAATCTAAGGAATGTAAAGAATTAGGGGAGATAATGCTTATTAAAATAGGGAGAAGCTTCATTTTTATGTTATTACCATACAGTGCCTGAATTCCCTTCACATCATCTTTAGGAAGGCGGAAGCCAAACGGATGCTGATATTTATATGTTGGATACATCAGAGCTGACGGATCAGAAGAATGGGCAAGGCCCAGGGCATGGCCAAATTCATGAGCAGCAACAGTGAACAAGTTAAATCCTATGCAATACAAAAGGATATATTTCATGTGAGAAGTTACGTCTGATTAGAATACTGTATGAACTATCAAACACTCATAATTGTACAAGTCGAAACAAATATTTATAAATTTCTAAGCATGAAAAACCACAACCACACAAATAAAGTACTAATATACCTTACAGTAAATAGACACTGTGTAGGAACTACAAAATTGAGGAAAAATGTGTATGGAGTAATACATGATTCATAGGGACAACATTGCATACACAATACTTAAATAATATTACATTCCAAACATGGATGTATGTTACATGCACCTTGCTATCAGCATTTCTATGGTTCTGGACTACTGTAATCCGTTAGTCTATTTTGGGAACTCCCATCCACTTTTATTGCCTGTGAATGATCCAGAAATTAGAAATGTTTAATAAATGCTTTCATTAAGCATTTCTAATTTCTGGATGCTTCACAGGCAATAAACAATGCTGGCTGATAACTGAAAAGCAAGGGGGAAATTCAGATGACACCCACAATCTTCTTGTTAACAACCGTAGGTTCTAGAGATCCCATTTCTCTTCCATGGTTGACTGCCACATAGCCACTGATTGTATAACTGTTACTGAACGATGATGATGAGTTAGGATGTGTTAGTACTTTCCCAATGATTGCTAAATGCTGAATGATGTTTCTTCAAAGACATATAATCATCTTATAATTATAATTATATAATCTTATATGCTTACTATTTCAAGGAGATACCATACTGTATTTTTCCATGTATAAGATGCCCCATGTATAAGACACCCCCAATTTTCTAACCCAAAATTCATAAATCAATATTTTAAACATTAGAAAGGAACATATTTTTAGTAATTAGGCAACATTTACATACCAGTACTATGATATTATGCATCACACTTAGCTGAGCAAATCACTTCATTCAACCTAGTTTGAATAACTGATTACATTCAGTTTGAATTTTGCAGACTAAGACATTCACTCATTTTCTTTTTTATTTTCTGACATCTTTATGGGCTCAATTATCTTTACCAGTCACTGTCGCACTGCCTACATGCTCTCTTCCGCATCAGCTTAAGTCATTTACATAAGGCTCATGATTGGAGGAAACCTGTTTGCAGAGACAAACTTTCGGCAGTTTGTTCATGACTGAAGGCAGACTGGTTTGCAGAGAGACATGGAAAGTTTTGCATCTGCACAGTTTTCTTCTCGGCTTACTTCCATGTATAAGACGACCCTCAATTTTTAGTCTAACGATTTTAGGGAAAAGTAGCGTCTTATACATGGAAAAATACAGTAATACTATATGCTTCTTTTTTCATGGAGAACACAACCTTCTCTATATTCTGGTTATATCTTCACATTTTAATAAACATTATTTTATCAAGTTTTTTTTTAGTTTTGGACCCAGTCTTTCCCCAGCTCTTGTTAACCATGTGTTTATCACTACAGTAACAAGATATCTCACAATCCCAAGTCTTCAAAGCCTTTCATTCAGACAAAGAAAGTGAAAGCATGAGGGCTTGGGTAGAACTTTGTGTGCTTGTGAGATTTATTAATGATGCTTCTAATCTGTCAAAGGTATGTTCATGTGGCTGAAATTGTCCCCCCCCAGCATGTGCTGCAATTCTTAAACAGAAGCGGCCATAATGCAGACCAAAGAAAGAAACTTCCCATGCACCAAATTCCATAGATGTCTTTATGGTTCTAGAGTGAGAATTTCCTTTGAAAAAAAGAAAAAGAAAATTAGATCCCTTCTTTCAACATGTTAACAATGACCTTGCATTCCAGAGCAGCTTTCATTTTATTAATTTCTGCCATCCTTGGTTATTTTAGAACAAATCCCCTCCTTGAAGCTTTCCAGTCATGGCATGAGTTTACTCTTACCATTCATTCCCATTGTCCACTTCTCTGCATTGTCAAAGTGAGTGTCTCCACCTAGGCCTTCCCCAGGTGCGAAAGCATGTGCAAGAGTCCCTCGTGGTCCATCAAATGGGTAGGAATCCCCGTGATCTAAGAGGGTACAAGAATACAACGTGATCCCATAATCCTGGCAGATGGAGTTGTAGTTTTGTTGTTGTTGTTGTTGTTGTTGTTGTTGTTGTTGTTGCTGCTGCTGCTGCTGCTGTTGCTGTTGCTGTTGCTGTTGCTGCTGCTGTTGCTGTTGCTGTTATCATCATCATCATCATCATCATCATCATCATCATCATCAGCAGCAGCAGCAGCAGCAGCATCCTGTCCAAATAGTAGCTAGGCTACTACTCTACTATTAACAAATATTCAGGTTTTTGGTTAAGACATGTATCTGTTATTTAATACCAGTCAATGTTTTATAATTTGATTGACTATGCTTGGTATTTTTGAAAAATAATAATAACTGCATGTGGTCAAGTTGATTTGGACTTATGGTGACCGCTTCTGGGCTTTCCTAGATAGAGGATACACAGAAGTGGTTTCCTTCTTCCGTTTCCCTTCTTCTGGGGTCATCTCGGGACTGTGCAGTTTGTCCATAACTCAACAGGGAGGCTCTTTTCCCAGGAGGCAGAGTGGAGGTCCAAACTCCCAACCTCTGGCTCTGCAGCCAGATACCTAAACCACTGAGCTACCTAGCCAGGTTAAGAGAGTGTGAATTGCCTAATGCTCTCCTTCCTTATGATCCAGACATTGGTGTTTTCATAGAATGGGCCTGTCTATGTAGAACCATTTGGCCGCCAAATGTGCTAGAAGTCAGAAGCTAAGACTCAAAAGCCCTTTTCCTTTTTAGGATGATCATTTAGCAATTGGAAGAGAGAGGAGAAGTTAATTTGACTCTGAAGAACTTGGAAAAGAGCTTTCCTCCAACTGACTTTACCTCAGCAGATAAGTGGACTCACACTTTTAACCATAACAACAAACCTTTGGCTTCTAGGGCATAGACATTGGCTAAAAAAAGTTTACCTCCATTTTCAAATGAAATCATGATGTCAGCTTCTCCTGAGATTGTTTTTATAAAGTTCAAGGGGGTGGCCACACTCCATGCTTTCAGCCCCATCTCCACAGCCTTGTCAACTTCTGCGTGACTTAAGGTGGATGTATATTTTTTCACCCTGGGGGAAGAAAAGGCACATTTCTCAATGTCTATACACAGATGTGGAAAGCGGATTATGATGTCTATGATTGGAACTTGGTAATTATTTTCTGGGAAGGAGACAAGATAGCAAGTCATGTATACTGGATCACCTTTGGCTCCTTGTTTGTTGACACTGAATGACCTCAGACACAGCAGTAAGAAAGGTCTTAGCTTTGCAGAAGCCATAATGATTCTTTCTTAGCTAAGGTTACCTTCTACAGGCTTGCTACTTGTTATCTCTATTAAAACTTCTCTGATTTTATCTAAAACAGATGCTAAGCCAACTAGCTGTAATGTTGTGCTCCTGTCCACCATATGCTTTTTGAAAGGGTGCATGATTGCTACAAGACCTGCATGGGATGGCATGGAATCAATAAAAGTTTCATAAGTCAATATTGTACTTACATCTGTTTCATTGATGTGATCCATCTACTCTAACAAGGTGCTCACATTTGGATTTGTTGTTATGCAGTTTCAATTCCCTTCTGACTTATGGCTGTCTTAACACAGTTTGCAAGAAGCTAAGCCCTATGAGAAAAAGACTGAAAGAACTGGCCATATTTATCCTTGAGAAAAGACAGAAAGGAGATGTGATAGCCCTTTTCATAAAGTTGGAAGGTGGAGGAGAAGCAGGATCTGTTCTCGCTCATCCCAAAGTGCAGGACATGTAATAATGGGATCAAGCTACAGGAAACCAGATTTCAGTTGAATATCAGGAAAAACCTCTGAACTCTTAGAGCAGTACGACAATGGAACCAGTTACCTTGGGAGGTGGGGAGCTCTCCAACATTGGAGGCATTCAAGAGAAAATTGGACAACCATCTGTCAGATCTGTTTTGATTTGGATTCCTGCATTGAGCAGGGGGTTGGACTCGATTGCCTTATGGGTTCCTTCCAACTCAGTTATTCTTTGATTCTATATTTCTATGAAGATGTTAAAGAAGTAGTTTACCATTGCCACTCTCACACCTGAGAGTTGCCATGGCCAAGTGGGGATTTCAATGCAGGCTTCCTGAGTCCTAGTCAGATATGCTATTTCTACACCATAATATATCTCCAACAATTGGATTTAAACTGATATATTTCACATTAGCAGGAAGACTGCCATTAGGTGATAGACACTCCTCTTTCTTCTAAAGAAAAGCCAGTTAAAACACAGTTTGATGGTTGTTCTGGGTTTTTCGGGCTCTTCGGCCGTGTTCTGAAGGTTGTTCTTCCTAACGTTTCGCCAGTCTCTGTGGCCGGCATCTTCAGAGGACAGCAACTTGTGCTCTGGTCAACCTCTGCACAGGTTGCTGTCCTCTGAAGATGCCGGCCACAGAGACTGGCGAAACGTTAGGAAGAACAACCTTCAGAACACGGCCGAAGAGCCCGAAAAACCCAGAACAACCATCAAACTGTGTTTTAACTGGCTTTTCTTTAGAAGAAAGAGGAGTGTCTATCACCTAATGGCAGTCTTCCTGCTAATGTGAAATATATCAGTTTAAATCCAATTGTTGGAGATATATTATGGTGTAGAAATAGCATATCTGACTAGGACTCAGGAAGCCTGCATTGAAATCCCCACTTGGCCATGGCAACTCTCAGGTGTGAGAGTGGCAATGGTAAACTACTTCTTTAACATCTTCATAGAAATATAGAATCATAAAATAACTGAGTTGGAAGGAACCTATAAGGCAATCGAGTCCAACCCCCTGCTCAATGCAGGAATCCAAATCAAAGCAGATCTGACAGATGGTTGTCCAATTTTCTCTTGAATGCCTCCAGTGTTGGAGAGCTCCCCACCTCCCAAGGTAACTGGTTCCATTGTCGTACTGCTCTAAGAGTTCAGAGGTTTTTCCTGATATTCAACTGAAATCTGGTTTCCTGTAGCTTGATCCCATTATTACATGTCCTGCACTTTGGGATGAGCGAGAACAGATCCTGCTTCTCCTCCACCTTCCAACTTTATGAAAAGGGCTATCACATCTCCTTTCTGTCTTTTCTCAAGGATAAATATGGCCAGTTCTTTCAGTCTTTTTCTCATAGGGCTTAGCTTCTTGCAAACTGTGTTAAGACAGCCATAAGTCAGAAGGGAATTGAAACTGCATAACAACAAATCCAAATGTGAGCACCTTGTTAGAGTAGATGGATCACATCAATGAAACAGATGTAAGTACAGTATTGACTTATGAAACTTTTATTGATTCCATGCCATCCCATGCAGGTCTTGTAGCAATCATGCACCCTTTCAAAAAGCATATGGTGGACAGGAGCACAACATTACAGCTAGTTGGCTTAGCATCTGTTTTAGATAAAATCAGAGAAGTTTTAATAGAGATAACAAGTAGCAAGCCTGTAGAAGGTAACCTTAGCTAAGAAAGAATCATTATGGCTTCTGCAAAGCTAAGACCTTTCTTACTGCTGTGTCTGAGGTCATTCAGTGTCAGCAAACAAGGAGCCAAAGGTGATCCAGTATACATGACATGCTATCTTGTCTCCTTCCCAGTGGCTTTGCCAGAATTATGCTATATCTCCATAACTCTGTGACTAGAGATGAGTACAGATTGCCAGTTTGGTAGTTTGTCCTGGTTTGTCTACTGGTTCAACAGGTGTTCCGCTGTTGAGTGCTCCACCCCCTCTGGCAGCTCCTTGGGTTCTAGGACTCACCTCCTGTGGGTGCTGACTCTGAGTGGGCCCCCCCCACTGGCAGAGGTGGGGCTTGAAAGCACTGAACACCCACTTGGCTGGAAATTGAACTGGGATGAACCGCCAAACTGCGATTCATGCCCATCGCTATCTGTGACACAAAAAGCCCAGTTTTTCAACATGGAATTCTGAACAAAATCCACAGACGGATACAGCTAATTTTTCTATTTGGGTTTTCGACTTTGGTCTGAGGGCAAACCTCACCACTCCTAGAGGGATCCAGGGGTGAAATTAGGGCTTTTAAAATCCCAAACCTGGTTCCTTTTAAAACTGGGGTGTTTTCCTGTGATCTTGGGGGCCAGTGCCAGCTGGGACAGCATTAAAGAGGGATGAGATATATTCATGGAGGGTAAGGCTATCAATGGCTGCTAATCAAGATGGCTGCATATCACTTCCAGAATCAGAGACTACACACTTCTATGTATCAGCTACCAGGGAATATGACATGAAGGACTTCCCTGGGCAACAGGCTGGCTGCTACAGAAATAGAGAACTGGATGTCTTCTTATGTTCTTAAGATGCTGCCAGAAACATTAGCAGGGGATGAAGCAAAATGGAGAATAATGTGCAATCCACCCAAGAAGTGGACAAGTTGGTTTGCAGCAGTACCTTCAGGCAGCTTCCATTAGATGACATCTATGTTAATCTTGAGAAGAAAAGGTAGGGCTGGCCTGGTAAAGGTAAAGGTTCCCCTTGACAATTTTTATCCAGTCGTGTTCGACTCTAGGGGGCGGTGCTCATCCCCGTTTCCAAGCCATAGAGCCAGCGTTTTGTCCGAAGACAATCTTTCGTGGTCACATGGCCAGTTCGACTTAGACACGGAACTCTGTTACCTTGTGGTTCCTATTGATCTACTTGCATTTGCATGCTTTCGAACCGCTAGGTTGGCGGGAGCTGGGACAAGCAATGGGTGCTCACTCCGTCACGTGGATTCGATCTTACGACTGCTTGGTCTTCTGACCCTGCAGCACAGGCTTCTGCGGTTTATCCCACAGCGCCACCACATCCCCAGGTCTGGCCAAGCAAGGGTCAAATCATACATTACAACAAATTGTTATTGCCTCCTTTCAAACAGCTGTTTGGGAAACTAGATAGGCACACCAAGACCTGCTATCTGGCAGTTGCTCAATTACAAGACAAAAGCAAGCTGGTTTAGCAAATGTGTATTGAGGCAAGCTCATGTTAGAAAAAAAATGCACTGTCTTTACATCTGAGGAGGAAAGTGTTTCTAGATGTGGAACAGCCTGCCAAATGAGTCCCAGGTCAACCAAACAAAATGGAATCAGTAACATAATTTCGCAGGAGGTCCAACAGGGAAAATGTCCACCAAAAAAATCCACCAAAGAAATCTAATCTAATCTAATCGCTAATGATGGAGAATGGAAAAAAACTGATCACATGAGAAGTCTATTTAAATACTTTCAGTTTGAAAAAAGTTGAAGCCCTCAGTGGCCGAGGAAAAAACACTGCATTGGCAGCAAAAATGCTGAACTGGACTGATTCAAACTGGCTTTTGTGCCTTGTGAACTATTTTGTTGTTGTTTAGCCATAAAGTCGTGACCCCATGACTCTTCGTGACCCCATGGACGAGAGCACACCAGGCCCTCCTGTCTTCCACTGCCTCCCGGAGTTGGGTCAAATTCATGTTGGTAGATTTGATGACACTGCCCAACCATCTCATCCTCTGTCGTCCCCTTCTCCTCTTGCCTTCACACTTTCCCAACATCAGGGGCTTTTCCAGGGAGTCTTCTCCTGAGATGGCGACAGTACTGGAGCCTCAGCTTCAGGATCTGTCCTTCCATTGAGCACTCGGGGTTGATTTCCTTCAAAATGGATAGGTTTGTTCTCCTTGCAGCCCAGGGGACTCTCAAGAGCTTCCTCCAGCACCACAATTCAAAGGCATCAATTCTTCGGCGGTCTGCTTTCTTTATGGTCCAGCTCTCACTTCCATACATCACTACAGGAAAAACCATAGCTTTGACTATGCAGACTTTTGTTGGCAAGGTGATGTCTCTGCTTTTTAAGATGCTGTTGAGGTTTGTCGTCGCTTTCCTTCCAAGAAGAAGGCGTCTTTTAATTTTGTGGCTGTTGTTACCATGTGCAGTGATCAGGGAGCCCAAGAAAGTAAAATCTGCAAATTCAACCATTTTACACCCGCAGTGTTTAGTGTTTTGTCACAGTCTTTTTATTCATTTCAAACCCCCAAATACTATGCATTCATATCTACTTATGATACCACACAGCAACAACTTAGCAATGCTTATCTTCCAAACAGGCTATGCAAAACAGAAGTAGCACCAAAATTCTCTAATGCAGCTACACACCAGTCCAGACACAATGTAGGTTACCCATTAGCCTGCAGCATCATCAGATTTCTTAAGCTGTTCTCAACCTAGTTTATAATTCTTTATGCAATATATCTTGACTTAAATGAAAAAGGATTTCTTTATATGGAACAATACTTGCAAAATATTGCAGCTGGCCTAGTACAATTTCTTTCGTGCCCAATAGTCAGGCCATACAACCACACAAGATCGTAATATTGTTTACTTTCCAGAATATTTCAAATCCCAGACAAATGATTTAATAGACAGTGTTCCCTGAGAGCGACCATCATGGTGCGTGCACGCATGTACATGTGTGCATGTGCAGTTTCTCTGTAATTTTATCCAGTTTATTGTGTTTTTCTCTCTCAAAATGTACCAGAAAAAGTAGTTTCTTAATTAAGACTGAGACAAGTAGGTCAAAGCATGGATGGCCTTCCTTTATGTATCCCATTTCTGCATTTGAATATCACATGGATCCATAGTTTTGAGAATGCATCATTTTATGCCCAGGGCGTGCTCGCTCCCCCTTCTTCTCCTCTTCAAAGAGATTGCCAGAATGACTTTGGGCAGTTCTGTTTCCAGATTAGATCAACCAGGGCTTTTTGTATCAATTCCAAATGTGTGTGTGTGTGTGTGTGTGTGTGTGTGTGTGTGTGTGTGTGTGTTAATCCTCACTAACAATAGTTTGTTTGAAATAACTGAATGTCAAACTATGGGTTAGGAATATAAAGCTGGCTTGTTTAAGTGATCAATAGTTTCATTATTCACATTTTAGAGATTAGATATCATACTAATTGGTAGTTAAGTGGAATCTGGAACAAATGATACACAACTGTTCCTTGTAGTTGCTTTAAATGTGAAAAAGGAAAGCACATGATGTTTAAACATGGGTTCTCGAAGGCTTTCACGGCCTGGATCTGATGGTTGTTGTGGTTTTTTTGGCCATGTTCTGAAGGTTGTTCTTCCTGACATTTCGCCAGTCTCTGTGGCCGGCATCTTCAGAGGACTCGAGTAGAAACTCTGTCCATGCTCTGTTACTGCTTGTTGGATCGTATTTATAGCTGTGGGAATGGCTTTTTGTCTTTTTTCAGGAGATAGGGTGATCAGCGTGTTTTTGTTGTGACAAGGGGGGGAGATTATATGTTACTGTGATTGATGGGTGTCTTTAGTGGTCTTTTTTGTGCAATGATCCCTGGTCCTTGTGGCTGGATAGAGTTCCTTGACCTTTTACAGGCTGTATTTTTCAATGTTGGGAGTTCTGTTGATGTTTATGAATTTCAATGGCTTCCCTGTGCAGTCTAACATAGTAGTTGCTGGTGTTGTCCAGTACCTCAGTATTTTGAAATAGAATTTCATGTCCAGCTTGTTTTAGGGCATGTTCAGATACTGCTGATTTTTCTGGTTGTTTTAGTCTGCAGTGTCTCTCATGTTCTTTGATTCTGGTGTGAATGCTGCATTTTGTGGTTCCAATATATACCTGTCCACAACTTCACAGTATCTGGTATACTCCTGCAGTGGTGAGGGGGTCCCTTTTTGTCCTTTGTTGACTGTAACATTTGTTGTATTTTTGTGGTGGGGCTGAATGCTGTTTGTAGGTTGTGTTTTTTCAAAAGTTTCCCCATGCGATCTGTGACCCCTTTGATATATGGCAGAAATACTTTATTTGTGGGTGGCTGTTTTTCTTCTTCAGTCTGGTGTTGTTTTCTTGGTTTGATGGCTCTTTTGATTTCATTCTTGGAATAGCCATTCACCTGTAGGACCCAATTCAGATGGTTCAGTTCGGTGCTAAGAAATTGAGCTTCACAGTTCCCATTTGCACGGATTTAAACATGGTTTGTTTGTGAGCGTTATCCTGGTCCATTTGATCAGTAACAGTCCTACCTCAGGCTATAAGGGCTGACATGAAGGTCTGCCTGTGGAGTATACAAGGAAATTGAGCTTTCATGCAGTCTGGTAAATTGCAACCTTGTTGACTAACTCAAGAGCTGCAGCATAGCTTCCTTGTTTCTCTGACAGGAACTCACTAGAACGAAAATGTGAAGGATTTCCTTGTAAGCCATGGTTTATATCGTCAGCTGGAGATGAAAGACTGTGTGAAGAAGAAACACTTTCTGCTTTCAGAAGCTCAAATATAGATTTTCTGTTAGGAAAGACCTCACCTTTAATTACTCAGTGGTCAGTTTTCTAAGAATACCTGAGGCGAACATGGCAGAAAGGAGACCTTTGGTGACCCATCTTCTCACTGTAGATACTTCCTGGTTCAGGGAGAGACAATGGCATTGTAGCTTTTATTTGTCCAGGAACTCAACTTGCATTGTGTACACACTTACCCTCCTTCCAATCCATAGTGCAGTTGGGCAAGCATCTTTCTAGGGAAGCAAACTGATGTCAGAAGGAAGTTGCTGTCATCTAAATTATTAGGAAAGACCTGCAACATGCAGATGTGGGATAGACTTGGGTATTAAGTGCTGCAGTCAGTACTGGCTCACTGGCGGAGTTGGAAGGGCATTGCCCCAAAGTGAGACACCCCCTGGATTAAAGGTTGCTGTTGGCCGTAATACAACTCTCCAGCTTGCAACCCTTTATTTGGGGGACATGCCTCAGAATCTCTCACTTAGTTTTATCCACACTGGCAATGGAAGTTGTAATCCTAAACATAACATATCTAAGCTCTCGACTAGTCACACTGTTAGTATAATCTTCTAGGGGTTCTACAGTGAGCCCTCTGAATTCTAGGAGGTAATAATGAATGCTGCTGACTGTCCAATTACGGTTCAATGCTCTTGGTCTGTTTGTCTTACAATGTTTTGACTTATTTGATTTTATTACTGTACCCTCTATTGTTTATTGTTTATTTTCACCGTCATATTACTGTATTTGTTTTCATTTGATTGTTAACCGCCCATCATGAGCTGGGTGGTATAAAAGTTAAACAAACGAACAAATAAATAAACAAATATTTAATGCCTGTGGACATGGCCCTCATTGGCTCATGTCTAAATGTGTGAACAGACCTACTCTGAAGGAGACCAAAATATTTGAAATTTTGTCAATAACAATTGCTGTTTGCAAACTCAGACCATCCCTGAACATTGTGTCACTGGTAAATGAAAATAGGTTTCATTTCTCTTTTCTGTACTGTGGACTGTAGCCGCAGGCCCCCACTCTTGTCTGATCTAAACTAAGACTGCTTCGAGAAGCAAAGCTTTAAACTTCTCTCCTGCACCCTCCCACACAATCATCTGGATTAGGCCCCTGGCACGGGAAATTTATGATCTGGAAAAAAACAAACCCTCACCACTCAAAAGCAGAACAACACAGTTAGGGCCCCATGTCATTTGGCTGTCAGGGAAAACGTAGTGAGACTAAAATCTGTAGCAAAATCAAAGAAATCTAAAATCCAGAAAAGAGATAACGTTAGGGAATTATAAATGTTTTAATGTTAAATATTGAAAAGGAAAAAATACATATAAAAAGGACAAATTTAAAAGTAAATTGTAAATATTATTTCAATATCCCAATGATCTAAACATGTTTAATCAAAATTAAATATCAATATTAACTTGTCACCTGTATGTCAATGTACTTTTTTTCCATTTAGGTTCTCCCGGGAAAAGGCGATAGTTTGCCACATCAGGGACGCCACACCGAGGTCTTCTTATTACATCCATGGTGCTAAAGTCCAGTTTCCCAGTGACAGGCAAGCCAAAGAAGGCTTGCATTTGTTGAACCTTCTTTATCATGGAATTACCGCCACTTGTCATTTCTCCAATCTGGGGGCCTCCTTTCGGCGTGTAATACTTGTCAAGGTATTCCTGAAAGCAGAGAGGGGTGTAAGGAAACCAGGTGGTGTATTTTGAGAAGCGCACCAGCAAAATCCAACTTTTTTCTGGCAGTTGCTTCCTGAAACTTCTAACCTGATTATGGAAGTCCTTGTAAATGACTAGACAGGGACTACTGATTGTCAACAGACTGACGGTCACAATAGGATCAGTTTTAGATCTGATTCCATGACCAGAGAAATCCACAAAATCCATTTTTCTGCTACCTTAGTGGTTCCCAACCTTGGGTCCCCAGATGTTCTTGGACTGCAAATCCCAGAAGCCTTTACCCCTAGCTGTGCTGGCGAAAGCTTGTAAATGACTAGACAGGGACTACTGATTGTCAACAGACTGACGGTCACAATAGGATCAGTTTTAGATCTGATTCCATGACCAGAGAAATCCACAAAATCCATTTTTCTGCTACCTTAGTGGTTCCCAACCTTGGGTCCCCAGATGTTCTTGGACTGCAAATCCCAGAAGCCTTTACCACTAGCAGTGCTGGCGAGAGCTTCTGGGAGTTACAGTCCAAGAACACCTGGGGGCCCAAGGTTGGGAATCCCTTGGCAAAATTCCTCTCCTGAAGCCCTTTTTTTTAAAAAAGGGGGGTGAATTGACTGCAGATTGAAGGCTTCTGAATGGAGGCTGTTTGTGGGTATGAACTGCTAAAGGGAAGGACCAAGCTCCTTGCCTAGTACAAACTGCTACGAGAAGATAAATCATGCTTTCAAGAGTAAAAGGAGTGGGCAGTCAAGGGGAAAAACTACTGAACAAAGCGAGATAAGGGGAACATCCTGGAGATGATAGGAAAAAACACACGGATAATGTTAGGGCAAACCCCCTTAGTTCAAGGAGAACAAATGCTCCATCTTGAAACTTTGGAAGACTTCTCTGTGCCTGCCTGTTCCTTCATAAGAAAGAGAGTTCAGTGCCTGCCATAAAACACTTCTTGTAATGTTATTCCGCCATAGCACATTTATTCTTTCTTCTGTGCACTTTCCCTTTTATGCCAATTGTTCCCACTCATACTGGTTCCCTCTCTACTACAAACTTTTCTGAAGCCCGTAGGATACAGTAGCACACTTTCCCCTAGTTCCTTAACTAGTTCCATACCAATATTGGCAAGATTGCAATCTGACCGGGACAGCAGAACAACAGTTTAGATCCTCATTGTGAAAGGTCCATAAACACCACAGGCCCAGCCTACCAATCATTGAAGTTAGTGAGCAAAATTCAGTTGACGATTTACACCAGTGTAGGTGTAATAGCATAAACTGCAGCAGCAAATTTTCCCTAATTAATAAGTTTCTGTATGCATTCCAGGTCGTGTATCAAGTGTGATCAAGAATGTGGCAACAACTAATTCGCTAGGGACAAAAAACTGCCATGATTTATGCACGTATACCTAGTCTGGTGTAAATCCTCCACAGGATTCTGGCTTTCACAATAATAATATATATTACAATATAAAGGACCCACCTGGAGTCCATGACATCTGGAGTCTAAAATTACTTAACTGCATTGCTGAATTTTGATTTAAGCTTTAGAATGCCCCATAGGAAACACCCTTCGATTAAAGGTAAGCTCTAATAAGACCAAGAAAGTACTGTTTCCAAGTTGTCTCCTCAATGCTGCAGCCTAATTCTAGTCACCTTTCAGCTGGAGACTTGGTCTTGTTGAAGTCATTAGTGCTCCCTTCTAAGCAAGTCCACGTAGAATTGCAATACAGCATATCCCATTGAAGTATTCAAACCATCACCAACCTGAGCAAGATAGAGGTCTCTCCAGTTGGATGTGTGAGGCAATGCAAAGAGAGCAGGGGCTGAAGCTGAGTACTTCAGAGAAAGCACCAGAAGTACGGGTGGACAAAACAAAGGAAGATGCTCCATTTCTTCCCAAGAGTAGCTTGGAAAGAGCAGCCAGAAGGACCCTTTACATCTTTTATAGAGGAAAGCTAGTTTGGGAACTAAGAAACAAGGTGACTCATGTCTCAGAGGGTAATTACACAGCTCCAGGTCTTGATGAAGGGGTAACACACCAGTACTTAGATAGAGGAAAAGGTGGATTCTACCTAACTTATAAAAATATCTCCAGCAAGGAAGAAATGCTGTAGAATCTCAGTGAAGTTCCACTTGTAGAATAGCTTACCCAGAGTTACTAAAAGTTACATTTTGGATTGCACTAGGTATGCTGGGCTTTGGGAAGTTGTAGTCCAAAAAAGTAAAACTTCCTTACTCTATATGTTATAGATCTTTGAGTGAAAGAGAACATTATGCAACTGGATTTTAAAATACTGATATCAATAAAACATTTTGCCATTTTATTACTAGGTTCTAGTCCCCATTGAGCCATGAACTTACTGGCCAAAATCCTGTTGCTTAGTGTAAGCAATGGGACTAGACTAGGCCCATTGAATCCACAAGGATTTGGTAAGCCAGCTCCTCCATAAGTTCCATTATATAAGAACATAAGGAGCCCTGCTGGATCAGGCCAAGGGCCCATCTAGTCCAGCTTCCTGTATCTCACAGTGGCCCCACCAGATGCCTCTGGGAGCACATGAGACAACTAGATACCTTTCTCCTGATACCACTCCCCTGGCCTACTCTGAGACTTAAAATGCTAATACAAGTTCCTGTTACAGTAGGCCCTTTTGAATCAATGGAACTAATGGAGTAGTTGACTCATTTACTCCTCATTGATTCAATGGGCCTACACTAGTCTGATTTATTACCGCTTTACTGTCTTATCCCCCTTTTTTTGTATCTTCTGGTTTTGAGCATTGTCATTTGATGGACATAAAAAGCAGTATAAAAGTATGGTGAATAAAATGAATGGATGGATAGATGGATGGATAGATGGAATATTGCACTCTGTTTTGGATTGTGACCCTTGTCTTTAGGGGCTACTTTAGAAAAGGATGCTAACAATAATACTAATAGGACGTAAATTGTGTGAACTTCATTTTCAGTTTCTATAAAGGCTGCAATATTGTGCATCGAAATTTGAACAGATTTAGGGCCAAAGTATATCCTTCAACTGCATTTCACATGTTTGATGTAATGTGTTTGAATTGCAATAACCTTGCTCAGCTTGTTGGATCTTGTATCCTTCAATTTTGTTACTTTATTTCAAATATTTAGATGCTAGAATCTCAGATTTTGGTCCGAGGGTCCTTCTCATGTTTGAGAATTCACCACAGCATTTTATAGTTTCTGAATTTGAAGTACTGAAATGGTCTCACTGGCTGAGGCAAAATAAAATTCCAGCCATTTTGCAACCCCCATGGCAATTAAGATCTACAATGAAGGTTTCACTCCAGGTAACATGCATGAAATAGGATCTTTTAACTGTGGAAGCTGAAAAGTAGAATTTGTATTTAATCTGGAAATAATTTGGCTGGATACAATTCATGGCTGATGGTCGGATTCCAAAAAATCTCCTGTATGGAGAATTAGTGCAGGGAAATCGACCCAGAGGGAGACCACACCTGCAATACAAGGACATCTGCAAGCAGGATCTGAAGGCCTTAGGAATGGACCTCAACAGATGGGAAACCTTGACATCTGAGTGTTCAGCCTGGAGGCAGGCGGTGCCTCATGGCCTCTCCCATTTTGAAGAGACCCTTGTCCCGCAGGCCAAGGGAAAGAGGAAGTCCTGAAACCAGGAATCAGGGAGCTGAACAGGGAACAGACTGTATTTGTCTTCAATGTGGAAGAGATTGTCACTCTTGAATAAGCCTTCTCTGCCACACTAGACGCTGTTCCAAGACCTCCATACAGAGCACAATACCATAGTCTCTCGAGACTGAAGGATGCCTACAAGGAGGACAGTTCATCAGACATCCAAGAAAAAAAATCTGACAAATGGGCGTTATTTCCAGAATTAGAATTCACCTATTATTTGCTTTAATTACTAGATTATGTTATATAACAGTTTTCATAAAACTATTACTCCTACAAATTTATTATATGGAGGGCCAAAGTATATCCTTCAACTGCATTTCACATGTTTGATGTAATGTGTTTGAATTGCAATAACCTTGCTCAGCTTGTTGGATCTTGTATCCTTCAATTTTGTTACTTTATTTCAAATATTTAGATGCTAGAATCTCAGATTTTGGTCTGAGAGTCCTTCTCATGTTTGAGAATTCACCACAGCATTTTATAGTTTCTGAATTTGAAGTACTGAAATGGTCTCACTGGCTGAGGCAAAATAAAATTCCAGCCATTTTGCAACTCCCATGGCAATTAAGATCTACAATGAAGGTTTCACTCCAGGTAACATGCATGAAATAGGATCTTTTAACTGTGGAGGCTGAAAAGCAGAATTTGTATTTAATCTGGAAATAATTTGTCTAGATACAGTTCATCAGACATCCAAGAAAAATGGGGGTTATTTCCAGAGTTTTGAAGAGACCCTTGTCCCGCAGGCCAAGGGAAAGAGGAAGTCCTGAAACCAGGAATCAGGGAGCTGAACAGGGAACAGACTGTATTTGTCTTCAATGTGGAAGAGATTGTCACTCTTGAATAAGCCTTCTCTGCCACACTAGACGCTGTTCCAAGACCTCCATACAGAGCACAATACCATAGTCTCTCGAGACTGAAGGATGCCTACAAGGAGGACAGTTCATCAGACATCCAAGAAAAAAAATCTGACAAATGGGCGTTATTTCCAGAATTAGAATTCACCTATTATTTGCTTTAATTACTAGATTATGTTACTGATATAACAGTTTTCATAAAACTATTTCTCCTTCCAATTTACTATATGGCACACCTTCACTAACACAAGAATGCTTCCCCTTTTTGCATAAAATTCAATATCCTTCCACTTTTAAAACAGTAGTGTAGCAGTGATCATATGATGGCCTGCTCAAAAAGAAGCTTTACTTCTGAGTCCCAGTGAATGCCTGGTGAGAAGATGATCAGGGAGAACATTGGGTGGGATTAAGATTTAGC